ATAATTAGTCTGAAGCATTAGCGAAAGACTAATTACTTTCTATGCATTGTGTCCGTTTATCCACCTGCTTATCATTTGAGATGATGAATATCAGCTATTTATAAATACTGTGATATATTTTCCTAAAAAAGAAACTATCCGCAACATAAATTTAATAAATCTCCCTAAAATGTGTTGTATTTATTTTATTAGACGTAATGATATATTCAATGATATTGACATAATTAATAATTAATTTATGTGATCTTAAGCTCTAGACCTGCAAATTTTTCTCTTACATTCTATACTCTTCGCAATTTTTCTGACACTCTTACACAATTAGTATTGTTGTTTGTACATAGAGCCATTTATTTTGATAGAGTAATAAAGAAATAGCAAATTTATGTTGAGGTTATAAAGATAAAAAAAACCAAAAAATCAAAAAAAATCAAAAACCAGAGTTAAAATAAATATAATTCTGATTGCGTTATCTGCGAAATTTGTGTTATCTGTAAAATTCATATCATTCATGTTATCTAAACATAATATAAATATATAGTATATTTTCATTTTAAGAAACGTTAAAAATTCAAAAATTCGAAATTAAAAAAAGATGATTGATGATTATCATAAATCATGATTAATATCTCATCTTTAATTGTATCACTTTTAGGTCTATTACGTTCTGATGTAATTACATTGCCACTTTGACTAAATAATCATTCTACAGGTGCACTAGTAGACAGTATTGATAAATAATTACATGCTATCATAGATAATATTGGATAATTAATTTCATATTTTTTTACCATTCTAATACATTTATAGTTCTTAGTTCTGGTGAACTATCAAGATAATTAAATAGTTCGTCATGTCCATTATTATTTTGAAAGCATTTAGGAATAGGAAATAAAGAATCTTTATCATTGCTATCCTTATTATTATCAAAAACAGCAGGTATTGAAGTTGGAAAGTAAATAAAACAATACAGTCAGACCTCTATATACCGATATTCTATATACTGATATACTATTAAAAACTTTATATACTGATAAAATTTTATTTATCCACTATACTTGAGGTCATATAAATATCGGTATAATTTGATATAACGATATTTTTAAAAAAATTTCTATATGTTCTGACATATCGTTATATAGAGGTTTGACTGTACTTATCAAATTTATCTACAAATTTAATTTTAATAATAAAATTTTTTTAATATTTATAATTTATCCAATTTCTATAGTAAAAATTAATTTACTTACAAATTTTTGGCTTTTCTATAAAATATATCATCATCATTTTCTATTCAGCTTTGAAAATATTCAAGCTTTCATTGTGGATCAATAATCGTAGAAATGTAATATACTGATTTAGAAGTTTTATTGTAATATTCACTAAGCTTATTCCATACCACCTTTGCAGCTGCAACTAAAGATTTTGAAGATTTTTCATCCTTCATTATTTTTTCAGCATGGTCCATTAAATGATTATTCATATGGTAAACTAAACTTATGATAGAATAAGTTGATGCACACATTTCAGTTGAAATTCTTGCAAATCACTTTGAAAAAATTATAATTTTCTTAAGAGATTTCCAATCTGATTGAGTTAAGCTAATATCTCTGATGAATGAAAATTTATCAGTTAAAACGATTTTATCAAAAACCTAATTATATAAAATCTTTAATTAATTATATATAAATCTTTAATAATTTAAATTTTAATTAAAATACTAATCATTTTCAAATTCAAAATGCATTTAATTGTTTCATACGTAGAATTCCAACAAGTCAAAATGTCTAAAATTGAAGACAGATTTTCAATGCCATTAAGATTTGAAATTTCTTTAAATTTTTGTCATCATTAGGAAGAAAAACAAAATTTATTAATAATATTTCTGATTCAATCTATTTCACATTTAAGTTCTTTTAAAGCATATTGAACTGCAAGATTCAAAACATGAGCAAAACATCGAATGTGATTATTTTTAACTGAAAAAATAATATTATTTTCTAATGCTTATAAGCCAAGCCGTATAAATGTCATGTTATTATTAGGAGTATTATCGGTTGTAATACAATTAATCTATAAAATTAATTATATATATAATTTTTATTTGTGATACAAAATCAAAACAAACGTATGTTAATAATTTTACAAACCTTTGCAAAAATCTTGTATGTATCTAATATATTGATTAACTTTTCAGCTATGTATTCACCAGAATAAATGCCTTCTAACTAAAGATGGGAACTGTAATTAATATGTTGCAACTTTTAATGTTGCAACTTACGTTGCAATTAGTTTTAACCTATATATGTTGCAACTTATAATGTTGCAACATATGTTGCAACTAATTTTAGCTTATGTTGCAACATTTTGTAAATTTGAAATCAATTGCTGTACCATCTTTACTTCTAACTCATTAAAGTCAAGTGTAAGCTTTCGAAGATTCCATAATTTGTCAATGAAGTGAATTGTAACACCTATGTACGTTTTAACTATTATAGGTCCAAAGAAAATGATGCTTTTCCTAGAGTTTCTACTATATATTTTTGGATATGACTTTGAAATTTGATAAACTCCTACATTATATCTCTCTTTATTGTATCAGAAGATATAATTGTAAATCTGGTAGTCTTTTTCAACACATTTTTGATTTTTCCTTCAATAATTAAAATGGGTGATCTCAAGAATAATCCATTTTCATAAAGATTTTCGTAAACTACTTTCTATAATTGGCTAATAATAAAATTATAATTAATTATTATATATATAATATATTTATTTGCTTTAAAAATAAAATGTTAATATATGATTTACTTATACCATTAGTTGTATTCGAACATTGTTTGATTGTATACTGATTAGTTGATATACTAATTAGAGACTTATGCACTTTTTTTACGTGAGCCTAAAGGTTTAAAATTGCATTGCTATTAACTGAGTAAATTATATTCCTACAAGTATTACATTTTGCGATAATTTTGTTGTTTTTTTTTCTTTCAAAAAAAATTTCCAAATATTTGACTTTGATGAAGGAGAAGGAGAAGAAGATAAGATTTCTTCATGCTCATGATTAACTTCAGTTTCTGTATCATTCATATTTATAAAAAATAAGAACAATAGGAAAGATCTTGTGACTAAATTTTTGGGCTATGAGAATGGTTTAGTGTAGTCAAAATTTTGGACTATGAGAACAGTTTAGTAAGAACGTATGGTCAAAATTTTGGGCTGAAGAAACAAGACTAAGAAAAATTCTAATGTTATTTTTCTCAGAAAAAAAAATATGATAGATGATCAAGAAATATTTCTGATTTTTTTAGGTTTCATGATACTCTCAAACTTGATTTTATTGAATTAGCGAAAATCAAGTTTGGGAAAATTTCCTATTAAAACTCAGCTTTACATTAACATTACCTGATCTTTACATAATTTTTCCATTGTTTTTTATTGTTTAAACCTAATCAGTATCAAACTTATCTTGATTAAAATTTGATTATTTTTGATCAATTTAATTTCAAAAAATATAGTATAATGACATATGATATAATTGTTAGGCTATTAAAAGATAGGATTAGTGTTGGTAGTTTTCTAACTAGCAAGAGGATCAGAATCGAAAAAATTATCAAAAAATAATATGTATCCTAGGCTACGTCCTGAATATTTGTATTTATATTTTGCATGTATTAATAAAAAAAATTGAATTTTGTAGGCATATATGATATGTGAAAAAATATATAGTTATAGAACTGCCATTGCAAGGCTATAAACAAATTTGTATTGTAATCAAATTTTAACCGAATAGCTGTGACAGAGCTAATACATGCTCTGACTCTAAAACATCTGCATTTGGTTTATATCTTGAAAGTACTAAATTTGGGTGATGGAGGAATTTTTTAAGTACGTCATTCCTCCAAGCTTTCGTCTCTTCTTGCTCCCAAGTTATTCCTATTAACGTAATTAAGTTGTCACTGGAATAGTTCATTTGTATTAGATTCTAAAGTGAGGATCGTTTATTTTTTCAAAAGTGAATAAACTCATTCCTCCTATAACAGCAGATTCTACACTAATAGGAAACTTTTTACGAATATCTGATCTGCTAGCTAGAATAGATAAAGGTGGAATTAGAGCTGGATGGTAGAAGTCGACTAAGGGATCCAGCTCAAATTCATCTACATATATGATTCCAATGTCTTCTAAATAATCTGAGAGTCTATCAACATATTTATAGCCTTCACGAATCAACTTCTGGAATAGCTTTCTGTTTGGATCGATCCATCAGCTGGTTAGAATGTTGAGTACTGTTTTTTTTACGTTCATAGATGACATGATTTATGCTGTTGTATATGATTGATCGTTTATGATATACTTTTCTACTACAGTTCAATTCAGTTTTTTTCATAATTTGAAATCGGATTTTTATAATGGAAGTGAAGAAAGAATATAATCTAAATACTTTAGATAGATCGTATAACCTGTCCCTATATCAAAAGAGATGGGAACGCTTGTGGCTGAGTTTGCACCCGCTTGGTAGGATGCTCGTTATACTGGAAATTGAGTGCAAATAATATGCTAAAATCTTCATGTAGAATATGCGATAAACCTACATTATCTTATACAGGCTATTGCTCCAAGCATGCCAAAAAAATTTATCATCGTGCTAAGAGGAAGGGCAACAAAAAAATAATTATAGCATTATTTCGTAACTTTATATTTTTTTTATACTCAGATTGTATAGCAACTTTATTAAAGTCAAAGCATATAAAATACAAATAAAACAAAAAGAAAACTAACTAAACTCTGTAACTGTATATTAGCAGGAAGCGGGACCTTGCATAGAAGCTTCGGGTTAATTAACCATCATGTATTTATTTTTTGCATGTATTAATAAAATTTTTTTTTCTTGACAAAAGCGCGTGAATTTTTCATGCAGTCACATGATTTTTTATTTGAGTAATGGGATTTTATTACTTAAACATAACATAAATATAAATTCATCGCTAACGTGAGTAATGGATCATATTATATATACTACATTAAATGCTTTTAGAGAATCGTGGTTAGATGTAGATACGTCTGTGTGGGATATCTTAGCTGGAAGAATTCGTGAATTGCTTTTATGCCCAAAATGTCACGAACCTATTTTCACAAATTCACAACAAAAAAATATTACCATTCTTATAGATAGACGTATGATTCATAATATTTGTCTTGAGTGTCTTGCTACCAAAGCCGAAGAAAAAAAATGATATTTCTCAAATCAAAGCCTCACAGGATACTAAACCCTTGAATCATAATGCTGATATAGTTGAAGTTCCTATTATAAAAGAACAAGAAGTCTTAGAACCTATTTCTTATCTGGAAAATAGTACTTTGCATAATAATTCACGAAATGGCATTGAAACTAGCTCTGCTGAGAATGATTTAATATCTGACTTTGAAATTAAACAGCAAACTCAAGACATTACTAATTTGCAGGATATGTGTTCTACTGAAAATATTTCTTCTGAGAAAGCCCCATTGAAGGATAAAGAGATGGATGCTTTTTTGGATGAAGAATACAAGAAAAAGGTTAGTAATGAAATTAGGCAAAGAAATAAGAAAAAAAAGCTTTGAGATTTGGATTTACCTGATACTTCTAATATCCCTTTGTCAGAATTATCCACAAGTTCGCATCCTATCCTTAATAATCCTGTCTTATCAGAACAAAATGCTAAAATAAAAGTACCTGAAATAGATATACAGCCTTTGATACAAGAATTGCTTATAAAACCTTCAGAAGAAGATTGTGTTAAGGTTGTTAATGGAGAGGAGAATACATCTGTTGATCAATCGCCTGCAATCAAATTAGCCTATTTATATAAAAAAATGAAATTTGCTGAAATTAGAACTATACGAGCCAAACAAGATAAAATCATGAGCTGGTATTGCTATAGAAAGTATTTTAAAAAAAACATAGTGAGATTTTACCTGAAATCCTAAAGAATAGACTTATTACGAATAAAAAAGCTTATGAACTTGCGAGTGGGTAGATTTATGATGAAATGCTACAGTATCTTTCAGATGTCTCTCATATAAACTTGCGCAAAAGAACCCAGCTAACTAAGCCTATATATATGTTATTTAGCGAAATTGGAGAAGTTAAGATTATATGAATCAAATCTTATAGTGCAAACAAACTCTCAAAGTTAACTGATATGCAAATCGATACTATTAAAAATTATCTTACTACATAGCGTGAAAAAATTCATGCACTCACGTGACTTCAAAAATGATCACTAGTGATGTAACTGCTTCAATCACGCTGCCGAACTTGAGTTGTATGACTAGCAAAAAAACATAAATGCATCTCAAACCATACCAGCTGAAGTACCAGCATTCTCTCAACTAAATAAGACGGTCATCCTATATGATGCTTGTACTTTCTATATCAATGTGACTCTGAAAGAATATCCATACCTATCCCTATTTAATAGTGACATACATAATAATGGATATGAGTTTAAAAATTCAGGATCATGTCTTGGATGTAAAAAAGAACATAATAAAGGAAAGGTAGTTGGCCGATGCATAAAGGATTTTTACTATATCAAGAGCCGATCTTCACCTAATGAAAAAGAAATCAAGATAAATGCACTATCGGAAATGATTTCATCAGATATGTCTCAAGCAAATGTACCATCTATATCCCAATCTAAGCCAACTTATGACCGTGCTTATTTTCGCAACAAAGCATTGGATCAATATCCTAATTTATATAGAGAATTTAATAGTAAAAATTTTGATTATTATGGAATTACCAATAAGACTTCATGTCTATTATGCAAGTTAGATCATGATGATGAGGAAGGTATAGAAGGTAGATATGAAACCAGATCCTATTTTATTAAATGTGAACAGCGTGAAATTGAGATAGTTGCATAGTCTTCTTATATCATAGATACTTTGAAAGATGGCCTAACTATTTCTTGAAAATATGATAAGAAATATTAGTAAGATTTCTATCTAGAAATTTTAATCTTTTTTTCAAATGAATAGGTCTATATGAGAAAAAAGGGATTTAAATTGTTTGCAGTCATATAAAAAGGAAAATGACT